AAGAGACTCTTAACAAGTGTAATAGAGACTTTGTTTGGGGCTCTACAAAAGACACTTGAAAGACTCATTTTATCTTATGGGATCAAGTTTGTGTTAGTAAGAAACATTGTGGATTGGGTCTCAAGCATGCTCGTACCTAGAATCAAGCTTTCTTGATGAAATTAGGTTGGAACTTAGTTAAGAAACCTAATGATATGTGGCTTAGAGTCATTCATGCAAAGTATAAATGTGGATCTGATATGCTTCCTAACATTCAAAAGAATCAGCTTAGTTCAAGTACTTGGGATGGGATTAAAAGTACATGGGATAAAGTGAAGGAAGGATCGGAGAGAATAAATAATGGTAATAATCTCCATTGGAAGTGGGAGAATTATGGCAACTTCTTTCTTCGTTTGACTTATAATGTGCTATGTTCTTCACCTTATTCCAATGATTTTAGTTGGGAGAAAGTTTGGAAGACAAAAACTCCTCAAAGATACAGGAACTTCTCATGGCTTTGTGTTCACAATCGTCTCTTAACCAATAAAGCTAGATTTTGCACGAAAATAATGGCAGATAATAGTTTTCCTTAGTCCAATGATGATCAGTAAGATTTTTTACATGTATTATGTGACTACCCTATGACTTATAAACTCTGGTATGATTTAATTAGCTCTTCAAGATGCCATTTATTCTTCTCTCTTGAGCTTAAATTTTGGCTTAAACGGAATCTGGTTGATTTGGCTTCTGATTCTTTTGATGACTGGAGTGCGATATTTACTATTATCTGCTGGCTTATCAGGAGACAACGTAACTCTCGAATTTTTGAGAATAAGATAGAGTACAATGAATTTATTCATGCCCAAGCTCTTGCCATCTTTCAAAGCATGTCTAATCTAAGTACAACTTATTGGCAAGCGAATTGGTTTGGTCAACCTCCAAGTAGCAGTGCGATCAATTGGATGCCTCCTCCTAAAGATTGGGTAGTAATGAATGTGGACGGATCTTTTGACCCGATTTCTCAACATGGTAGATATGGTAGGGTTCTTAAAGAAGAGAAAGGAAAGTTCATTTCTGGGTTCACTTTTGCTCAAGCAAGTATGGATTATTTCAGTGCTGAATTGTGGGCAATTCTTATGGCCATCAAACTTGCCTGGGACTTGGGAGTACAAAAGGTTTTATTTTCAACTGACTCGATGGATACGATGAACTTAAGTAAAGGTGGGGATATTGCTCTTCATGAGGAAAATGACCTAATTGCAGAGATTTGTTCTTCTTTTCTTTGAGAATGGCAAGTCTTACTCAAGTCTACCGGTTTGCTAATAAGGTCGCAAATATTTTGGCCCGTGAAGCTCTACACTAGTTACTTGGTTTTCATTTTTTAAGTGATCCTTGTAATATTAGTAATTTTCTTGTTCAAGACTGTGTAAGCTTTGGCAATTATTTTGCTTCCTTTTTGTATAAAAAAAGATTCAAGAAATAACTAAATAAGCAACTATGCTATTTGGTATTTGATTAATAAATTGATTATTTGCATCCTTTTCTTTTTCAAATGAATCCATCAATGCATTGCATAGATATAAAATTTTGCAATTGAATTAATGAAATATTATAAGTCCACTATGTCAAATTTTGTCCAACGTGTTACAAATGCCTAGTATCCAATTCCTAAGGCTGTGCAAAAAAATTAGAAACCCGATCTGCCTGGTCTAACCCGACAAAACCCAGTCTGACCTGGTCCTTAAAAAAATAACCTAATGAAAGGACTGGACTAATCGGGCTAGACCATACCATCGGGTTAGACCGGATTACAGACTGATGTTTTGGACCATATGGTCTGACCTGGTTTAGGTGAACAAATTTTTTAATATTAAATATATTATTTGTAATTTACAAAGCATACATATTTTTAACTTTTAGTCAGACACGTAATCTTCATCTCTGATCTCACACCCCTCTTTGTCTATTTGTTATTTACTTATCCTAAATCCTTAATCTCACTCTGCGCTCCGAACTCAGAAACATGCATTGCAACTGCAGGCTTACAGCATTGGCGCGCACACGAGATAAGAAAGCTTCTCTTCTCCTCCATCGATTCGACCTTAGGTGCTACTACACCTCCACAAGAACTTCAAGATCAGTCATCCGACGACAGTGACAGCGACAGAGCTCTCGTTGCGTTCTGTGTGAGGTTTTTCTTTTCAACCTCTTGAAGCATTTGTTCTGCAATATCTATGCCTTTGCGAAAGTCATTATATCTTGCTTTCTGAAGCATTTTTGGTAATTTCTTTGGCTGCTAGTGTCTATATCTTCCTATGAGATTTTTAAAAAAATCAAAGATTACCTTCTTTTAAGGTTTTAAGAGAAATAGAATATACACATCACTTATAAAAAAAATAATCATGATCTAGTAGACTAGTCCAGTAACCCGGTGGACTAAGTCCAGCCCGATTTAGGTATAGAGTTCACCTAGACTGGATCGATCTTTGAACTAAAAATTTTAGCCCGGTCTCTATTCAAACCAGACTTCAGGTTGGCATTCAACCCGGTCTAGTCTAGTATTTGTGCAGCTCTACCAATTCCAACATTAAAAATTAGATTTAAGTATTATCAAATCTAATTAGGAGTAATGGTAAAATATGTGGTAAAAAGGCAATTTGATGTTTTTTTTAGCCATTGATTTTGTCCAATCCAAAAACTAACAATTTGGCCAAAAAATAAGGATTAATGAGAAAAATAAACCTTGAACTCTTGCTCGAAAAGCACCTTGAACCTTGAACACTTAAAACATATAAAATAAACCCTAAGCTTTTAAATTCATAACAAATTAAACCCTACCATTATCTTTTTTTATCGGCGTTACTGTGCACCATGTCCCAGTTAATTAGCGTCACAGATCCTAAACTATTACGCGAGTAGCATCCTGGACCTTGAACTTTAAAATTTTAAGCAAATTACCCCACCTTTATGTGTAGAACGTTGGCTATTATGTAGATTAGATTAGTCTCAGTATGGATCACTGTAGTGAATACATCATTAGCCGCAGCGAACGACTCATAAATTTGTGAAATGATATTTTTTTTCCTCTTTTTGCAGTGTTTTGTAAATGATTAATAGCTCATACTTCCATATACTCTATAATATTGATTTAATTTTATTTTGAATAATATTTTTTATTTAATGGTGAAAATTTGAAATTCCATTGGAAAATAAGTTTAAATATAAGAGGATTTTAATTAATCAGTTACTTTAGGTTTTAAATTCGTTGATAAAATTGTTGGCTTTCGTGTCCATGATCTGTAAAATCATATGATACTTAAATTTTTTTTTCAATATTAAAAATATCCTTAATCTAATACCAACAACAGTAGACTATCAACAACAACATAAACAGGCCCCCAACTTCCATCAGCCGACTTTCACTATGACCACACCCTAACAACAACCGAGATCAAACAATTGACTTCTATCAGGGATTGAATAGATGACGATGATTAGGATCGGATGGCTGACTTCCATTGCGACCAGATTGATGGCGATGACAGGGATTGAACGATCGATTTTAGTCCAATCCTAGTGCAGGATGTTGTTTGACCCCAATCATCACAAGCCACCCGGTCCCAATGGAAGGTGACTATTCGGTCCCAGTAGTTATCGTCGATCCTGTCATGGTGAAATTCGATCGTCCAGTCCTAGTCATTGTTGTCGATCTGGTCTCGGTAGAAGTCTATCATCTTGTCTTGGTCGTTGCCGTCGATCCAGTCTCATGAAAGTCGGCCATCTTGTCTCGATCGTTGCTATCGGTCTAGTCCTGTGAAAGTCAGCAATCCGGTCTCTGTACGTTGACCATTTGGTCCTAGTCATTATCGGTGCTACAATCCTAGTCAACATTAACAATTTGGTCTCAATGAAAGTTAGCCATACAAACTATCAACTTTGACTAGGAATGGATTGTCAACATCATCCACATTTATTTTAAATTTAAATATAAAATTTAAAATTTTACTTTAGATCCAAACAAATAATTTTAATATTATGATTCAAAATTATTTATATCATCTAAATAAATAATTTATAATTTATGAATTTTAAGTATAAAATTTTAAATATGAGATTTTAAAATTTAAATTCTCAATTTAAATTCATCCATTATAATGTAACCTTAGATTATTTACCAAACTCGTACATATGAAAGTTCCAATATTCCCTTTTGCCTTTTCTCTCATACACTTTAATGCGTTCTTTTTTAGCGTTGAAAGCTTAGTGACTACTGTCTCCCCTTCATCCTTTTCCTTTTTGGCCAAAAACTCTCTCCTCTTTATCTAAAATATACTCTCTTATTTTTATTTATATGGATCGATTATATATATCTTAATTCTATTTATAAAGTATTTATATTTTTTATGTTTATGTTTATCATTTTGTTTCTTTTAAATGTTGAAGATGTTATTAAATGCTATATTATCATTAAAGTATATATAAAGGTAAAGTTAGAAATTTTTAAAATTTTTCAGACAGAGTTAATAAAATTTAAATTTTTTAATGTAGATGAAAAAATATTAGAAGTGATTTATAAATAAAATAAGATAGTATAAAATATTAAGTTTTTTTTAACTGTAACCTTACTTTATTTAAAAGATTAAGGTTTGTAGAAGAGAGTGTGAATATACGGTAAAAAATGGAAACTGTTTGCAAAGAAATAAAATTTCAGTAACCTGAAAATAGAATAAATAACAAAAAGAGACAAAACGGAATGTAGTGTTCACCACACGTGATTAAGAAGTGCCTGTGGTAGAGAGCGAGCGATGGCAGAATTGTGATTGTTGATATGGTTAAACGGGCACTTTCTCATCTCATTTTATAAAGGGAAAATTAGGGAGACGGAAGTGTAATCATCAATCAATATATATTAACAAATCCTGTAGAGTGCTGCTGATTGGTTAGAATTATTATCATAAAATTGATTTAGTCAATCTTAATACATTTTAAATTTTTTATTCTTCTCTCTCATTGTTAACTTATCATTACGGGAGGTTTTAACTTTTCTAAGGCAGCAAGTCTTTTCCTCTTCCGAGCAACGAGTCCTCTCTTCCGAAGACATCGATTCTCCCAATCTGATTCCTCAGCTCTCGCTGGACAACTCTTTGAAAAGTCTGGAAATCTCCGTATCTCCTTCTCGTCATCCTTACAGTGTAAAAAATGAAACTTCGGAGGTCATCGTTTTGTTTTCTCCTAAGGTTTCTGTTCGGCTTGAGAGAAGAACAGCTTCACGGTGACGTCGCCAGAGAAGATTAAAGGCACACAAGATAGCGCAATTGAAAACTTTGGAATCCCTCAATATGGGGGCAGCATGGATGGGAACATCTTGTGCCTGAAAGAGAACCATAAAGGGTGTACAGAGTTAGGGGATTCCTTCAAATCAAAACCTGGAGCTCTTCCGACCATTCTTTTACTCAATCGTGGAAGTAAGATACTTGTACTTTGACTAATCTGTTGTGTATGTTGAATTTTGGGATTCAGATGTTTATGTTTTTTGGTTCACTAACTGGTCAAGTAAACCCTTTTTGAAAATATGGAGATTCGAGAGTCTTGATACATTGATTAGAATAATCTTAATGGTATATTTTTTAATTTTTACAAGCAATCAAATTATCAATAGTACTGCCACATAAAACAATGCGTGTAAGTTATTTGAACTCATAGATTCATTTCCAAGTCACTTAACAGAACTTTTATATCTTTTACCTCGACTGCTCTTTAATTCGTTCTTTGACTTCTTGGAGCTTAGTTATTGGGTACTCTTGAGAGCCCTTCTTGAAGAAACAAGATTGTTTCCAGTAGCACTTGATATCAAGGGTTCTGGAATTGATATCAGATATATTAACAAGATTACTACATTGGCAGAGTATTCAAAACCTCTGGCTGATTATCTTGAAAACCTTCCTGAGGATGAAAAGGTTAGAAACTTCACATGACATTCTAAAATTCATGCAACTTGAAGCACTGTCACCTTTTGGTCTCCTGCAGTCTGTTATATTGAAGAAAATGGCACCGAGGTCTGGGAGAGGGAAATTGAATAAAGCCAATGCAGAGAATAAGAAGGAGGAAGAGAAAGGTTAGTTGGAATCTCTTTACTTGCAGATTTTTCTGATTTTTTATCAGCCATTTGCTTTTCCTTATATTATCAAAAGACATTGGAATTTTGAAATTCAAATTTTGTATGTAAGAGTACCGTTAAGATGCTTTAGTGAGATGCATCTTGAACTTTGAGGTACTTCGTTGTCTTTAAAAGCCTAGGTTATGCATCCCTGGGGTTGCTGTGCTTTAACACTGGGAATGGAGCTTGAATCTTGACTTGCTAATTTGATAAATATGGCAGCCTGTCTTGACCAGAGATGACAATGGTGGGTGATTTGTTTTTTTTTTGTTTTTTTGGAGAATTTGAATATTAACTTACTGAAATCACTGGCAAATAACATAAGAATTGAAAGAACCATACTATTATTATTGGCCATTGCTAATTGTTGTTCATGATATTTTAATTCAGGATCACATAGATCGTGAGACTATCTTGAAGGGATGATTTCTAAATATCATGGTATTATTTGTTTAATTTTGATTTTCTCTTTCATTGATAGTGATTCAAATATCAGCTCTATTTGATTTAAGTCCACGGGAAGACAGTACCTATTCCAAAGTCTTTTAGGTCCATTTGATGCTTCCCGTGGGTTTGATGCATCAAGGGTATATTTGATTGTGTTACTTTTTGTGCAAGCTTGTGATTTAGATATACTTTCTCCCTTTTTTGTCTGAAGTCCTGAGGGTAACATTCAGTTGAAAATAAAGCTTTATTTCTTTTTACTTTGATCCCAACTGCACATTGGTCTGATTACTTTAATCTAAGGTGAATTCTGTTTTCTCATTGATTAATTTATTTTAATATTTCATTTTTCAATCCCATCTTCTCTTTTTTATTTGTTGTGCTGGTGTATCTAATTTTATCATCCTGGTATGAAGATGAGGAAGTGCCGAAAGTGAAATCTAGGGGAAAACTGGAGGGATCAACACAACCTACTGTGTCTAACAGTTCAATATTGATGGAGATGGCAAGCTGAATAAGAAGATGATGATGACACTACCTATTCCACATATTCTGTGAGTTTAATTTTATATTAATTTTAATTTTCACTTCCAAAACAATTTGATCATATCATCCTTCCTTCATTTATAAAGCCTAATGCTCATACCTTGATGATGAGATCTCAGGTAGGTTTTGACGTTTTTCTCAGTAAAACCTTCTCCATGGCATATTGCCGTTTCTCTCTCTTTTAGAGTTTTTATGTTTTTTTTTTTTCTTGGTTCAACTTGCATTTAAGAGTTCAAGGAACCTTAGTTTAGTATAGAATCACAATAATTCTATACAAGAGCCTGGGTAGGAAGATAGTGCGCAAGCTTTTTGAGATAATTCTGATAATGTTCAATGTTTGTTATGTAAAGAAGTGAAACCGCATTAGTTCTAGAATGATTTAGAGGTGCTGGAAGTGTTGCTGGGGCTGGTAGTTTAGTGCACCATTTTGCTTTAGCTTCTGCGTCTACAAATTTAGGTTCTTTTTTATTAACAATTATTAACATGCATCCTGCCTTCAGGTTAGTATTTTATTGATTTTTATTGCATTCAAATAAAAAGAAATACATATTTTTATTAACTCATCATTAATGTTAATTATTTCATATTCCATCCACATGTTCTTCAATTACTTCATTAATGAACATTTATTATCAAGTGTGTAAATTATGTAAAATATTTAATGTTTAATAGTAAGAATTAAATCTCAGGCACTTTGAATGTTGGGAAAAATTAAATACTAAATATTCAAATATTCAATTATCTTCCGCAAAACCATTTTCCTAATATCAGTTTGAAAATTTGATACAAAAAAATAAATCTGTTACTTCGAATATTGAGAAGGATTAAATTTTGAAGATTTAAATTATTGATTATCTCTTTGAAACTTGAAAAATTATTTTTCTAATATTTCACTATTAAATTCATAATTGATTTTCCAACAAGAAGTCTCCTTGAGAAATTGAAACATTCAAGATTAAAATCGTTTTTCTAATATTTCACTATTAAATACGTAATTGATTTTCTAATCAAAAGTCTCTCATTATAGTGCCTCTTGAGAAACTAAAACATTCAAGATTAATTCTCTCAAAAGTTGTGTATTTACATGTGGTTGACAGAATATTTCATGTGTAAATTATCAAATTAATTAAATTACATTTAATCATGCAATGAGAATTATTTTTCTCCTCTTTTTCTGAACACCTAATAAATTACAATATGCTACTTATTGCGTGCATCCATTTATAAAAGGGCCCAAATTTTAATACTTTGTATTCTTTCCTTCCAAACGTAACTATTCTTCCTTTTAATTCTTTCACATTTGATTGTGCACTTGAATTATCTGCGGCAAAGATGGAACTCAATTAGCATGACTTTGTTCAAGACATCAATAATTTCATGGAGATATGGTGTATTATCGTTAGAGTCTTGAGAAAATAGCATATAAACCAAAAAAATGGCATTTAAATTTAGGCCTTTGTCAATTACTACAAATGTAGTTTATAAAGAAATTTTTCAAAATGTTGTATAAGGGAAAAAATAAGATGTTTTATATTAGAGTTGAATAAATTTATCTGTATTATATATTCTTTATCTAACCAATCTCCGTATTTCATTTTTATTAAAACCTCATTTTTTTTACAACTCAATCATGTATAATGCAATCATTAAAGATTAGATATTTTCAAAGACAAGATATTAACAAATCAAATATCCAAGAAGGGAAATGGTGAATAGAAAAACACTTGAAAATGTAGTAATTTCACATGCGTCTTTATCAATGGCATTAATTATATTTGTTTCAAATTTTTGAATTCTAACCCATGCAATGCATAGGAAGGAGTTTAGTTAATTATAATAACCCGTATTAAAATAGATAACATTTATTATAAAAGATTATAAAAATTTAAGGTTAGAATGAAAGATTAAGGTAAGTGTAATTGATTATTATTATCCTTATTATAAAATCAATATGTAATTATTGGAAAAAAATAATGCATGAAAGTTGAAGCTTACATACTTTCTCCCCAATCTATTCTCTTGCAACTAAGGTTGTTTAAAATTAATTCAAACCAGTTATACCAAATCAAGCTGATTTTAACCAATTAAAATTGATTACAAATAAGAAATGGCTTGGTTTTTCTTTTAGTAAAATCAATTGATTTAATTTGGTTTGGTTAATATTTTTGTCTCTTGAAACTTGAGTCAACCCAAATCAAGGCTCGTTATATATGTTTTGCATATTTTTTTTATAAATTTGTATAAAGGTTTTTCCTTTTTACCAAATTTAGTTGTCTGTAAATTAGTAGTTAAAAATATATTGCAATTTGTTAATTAATGTTGTCTATAATTATATATGATTATTTTTTTAACTTTATAATCAAGGGTCTTAATAACATATTAGTTTTTAATAGTTAAATGCACTACATAATTGTTGAAAATATTCTTTTGTTTTCAAGATATTTTTTTTCAATGAAAAATACTAATTAATAGTTAAAATTATTAGTTAAAGTGTGCATATATATATATATATATATATTGATTATTTCAAAAAAAAAAACCCAAACTTGATCCAAATAACCTAACCAAATTACTTAAAAATCAAACCAAATTGATTAAGAAAAACTAAATAAGCCCTTCCCGCACAAACACAAGGCACAAAACAATAGAAATTTGCAAAACAAAACTCTAGAAACATATATGAATAGAGTTAGTAATTTGAATAGGCTAAACTTATTTAAGTCGAGCTCATTCAAATTGAGCTTAACATATTTTACCCTTTTTAAAAAGTACATATAATCAAATTTGGCCTTAAATTTTTTCAATCAGGTTTGGGCTTGTCCAAAATTACCAATTCTGTATACATGTAGAGTTGAAAAATCTAGTGATCGAGCTCAATTCGAGCTAGGCTTGAAGTATTCTATCCTTTTAAAATAACCCACATAGCCAAGCTTGATTTTAACTTTTTTGAGAGGGTTCGGATTGATCTATCAAGCTTAGCTCAAAGTATTGACTCTATGCATGAAGCAGCAGTATGATAAAGGAGAATAAATAGCCTGAAAACTCAAGGGCTAGTGTTGTTCCTCCTGCATGCAGGCCTTATAGGCCACGGTTTGGAGAGGAATGTTAGGAACGATTTAAACATTATTGACAACTTGTTTCTGAACGTTGGCAATTAAAAATGATTTTAAAAAATCCATTTATGATTTAATGAAAATTATGTCTGGTTAATACCATTTTTGGCAATTTATATTTTGGTATCTGATTTTGCTAAATAATTATAATTTTTAAGATCCTCTCTCTAATAAATATAATTTCCACCAAGTCCTTTGCTATAATTTTCCCCTTTAAAAAAATGTTGTTGTTGGAGTGATTTGATGTTGCTCAATATAGAATATCTTGAAAATAAAATAAAATTATAAATTATATTTGATTAATTTTATTGATGTTCATAATTTTATCAAACATGTGTATTAAAGTAATTTGATTCGAAGGACTTGGGTCTCATTCACTCCTGGTCACTCTCTTTGCACCTCTTTGTATAAAAAATAATAATAATGGAGTAGCCCATGTGGGTTGGGACAAAGTGGAGCAATTAGGTGCATGTTTGTGTTTACATCATATTTGCAAACAAAAACCATTAACTAAGTCACCATTTGATAAAATTAAGTTTTTGTTGTCATTTTAATAATAATTAATTTTTTATTAATTCTTATTAGTGAATAATATTCTTTAATGATCATTCTAAGCAATTTTCTATTTTATTTTAGGCCTAAGCACAGAAAGGCCCAAAAGCTTACACAAATAAGAGAGTTTTTTTAAGTTTATTCATCAATATCTTCTTATTAAAAACAATCATGTTTAAAGTATCATTGAACATTAAACATAAATCAAAAGGTGGGAGTTAATGATAGTAAAAGCCACTCAAGCTTGATTTCTGATGTAAGACAAAGTAGAGGAAGTTTAGGATGAAATTGCAATCAATGACAATGAAAATGGAAGAGTTGTAACCTACAAGTACATGATTAAAGAACTGTCATTTGTGTCTATAAAAGAGGAAACAAGGCATCTACAAAAACCTCTCCTCAATCCTTCAAACTCTTGAACAGTTTTAAGTTTCAACAATCAAAGAATCCTATTCCATCTTATATTTTTATAATTTTATTTATAATAAGATCAATATCATGTCTGTTTTTACCATATAATTCATTAATTTTTTTTCATCTCAATTTTCTTATTTTGTACTTTTTAGTACATGTATCCGAGAAAATTATAATAAAGGATTCCGAGACTCACTGTTTGATTGAGAAGTCAAGGTCATTGCATGGTTTGAGGATCAACACTTCTAATGCACATGCAATAACAAAACAAAAATAACACATACAGTTTCGATTAAATTTTAAAAGTATTTTCAACAAGAGCTACCAATTCATTAATCCTTCTTCTCACAAATGTGGTATTCAAACATGCTCTGGGTCTTGCTATTGTTTGTTCCTGCAAGTTAGTTAGTGGATTTCATCATGATATGATGCCAATGATTTCCTGCCAAGCTAATTCAGTGTGTTAGCTCTTGTAATAATAAGCTCTTTAATAATGTCTTAATTGAAGTGCGTCTTGGGATTTACATATTGTGAATATACTCCCAAATGCAGGATTATGTATATGAGAAAATAAGGACTTATTTGGTTTATTATCTGAACTAATTTTTGAAAATTGTCATTAAAAAAATGAAAAACTATTTGATTATATTAATTTAAAAATAATTTTAGAGTTAAAGAATGTCAAGTAGCGGTAGTCGTTGATAGTTAATTATGATGGCTTATGAAAATATTTGGCCATAACTGAAAATAATTTACAATAGTGAAATACTATGTGTTTTAAAAATATAAAAAAATGAAATGAAAACAATTCTAATATATTTTAATTTTTTATTTTTAAAAATAAAAAAGAAAAGAATTTAAAAACGTTTAAATTCACAACACTTAGAGTATGTTTGGTTTTTGTTTTAAAAATCATTTTATGTCTTTTTTTTTACCAACATTTTATGTCTTTTTAAAAATATAAAAAATTGTTTGGGTAAATATTTTGGATTTTAATATTTTTTAAATTTTTTTTATCTTTTTTAAAAAAATGAAAACAACTTAGAATTACTTTCATTTTCTTTTTTATTTTTAAAGTACACTACATTTAGCTATTTTAAATTATCTTTAATTATGTTTAATAACTATCATGGGTCATCCATCAATTACCGGCGACCACTACTATTCATCTTTTTTTAACTCTGAAATTATTTTTAAATTAACATAATCATATAAATTTTAATTATGTTTGATTTTGAAAAATAATTTTAAAAATTAGCTTGTGAAATAGTTTTTTAAAAAAACAGAACGAAACCAAACAAGTCCTCATTCAAACAATTTTTTTCAAAATAAAAAAAAATTAAAAAGAGAAATTAAACAGGCTTTAAAAATTATTTTTTGTTGTTTTCCATAGGTCTTCAATCATTTACATAATTTAAAGATATTTTATTATCATTTTTTCTATATATATATATATATATATATTCTTATTCATTACAAAATATTAGAGAAATGATTTATGAGTCAGGTGCCTGAATTTGTCATTACAAAATTGAAAGGAATTTTATTGTTATTTCTTATTTTAAAATCCTTTTGAATTATATAAATAAAATTTTGGTCCTTCAAAATGTTATAATTCTCGTAAATCTCTAGTGACTTTTTGTCATTAAGGAATTAATGTAAATGAACAAATTGTTCTTAATTCAAATATCAATTATCATTCATAAGTTTTAATCTAAGATTTACAACTTTTATTCTTAAAATTACAAAAATTCAACAGTAATTTGTAAATTTACATTTAAAATTTTAATATTCCTTAAGTGTTACAAATATCAATTGTTGTTCACAAGTTTTATTCTAAGATTTACAAATAGTAAGATTTTAACAACAATTCGCATGTTTGAATTAAGGACAATTTGATTATTTATATCAATTCCTTAATAACAGAAAATTTTTTGAAGACTTTAGTAAAATTATGGCATTTCGAATGATCAAAATATCATTCATATAATTCAAAAAAATTTTATTGTCATTTTTCCAATTATTTATGTGAGATCTGAAATATGATTTTTTTAAAAAAAATATTTTGGATGTAAGAATTTTAAATAATTTATATTTATAATTATAAGTAATTTTAAATATTAAAAATAAAAGTATTAATGATAAAATTATTTTTTAAAATTACATTTTAATTTCAAAAGAAGGAGTAAATTTAATTACATTTTTATAAAGTTGAAAAAACATCCCAGACATCAAGAGCAGTGGAGCATTTTTAGAATGTTTAAAGATTTGATTCATTTTTGGGAGATTAAAAGCACAAAATCAACCAAACCAATTGGTTTGGAAAAAAACATTGGATCTATAATGTTTAATATGAAAGAGTTTGATTCAGGTTAATTCAGTTTAAACCGAAACAAACAAAGAATTAAACTAAATCATTTAATTTTATATCATAAAAATTAAATCAAATAGTATTTTACTTGTGTTTCGATCTTTTGTTTCAATCCTATACTCTTACACGTATCCATCCCTTTGTACTTGACATGAAAAAGTTGAATACTTGTGCAAGTCCACCAAGTGTTTTAGATTCATCAAGCTACTCGCTTCAATCGTGTCTTGGGCAAGAAAATTGCCCATATCTCTTCTTTCATGTCGCGTGCACGTTAATTATAATTGCCCATCACTTTTTAATCTCCTCAGCAACAAAAAGAATATGGGCATGTTTAGCAGCATGTTTTGAGAATAGATTTTTGTTTTTCAAAATAAAAAAATAAAAAAATTGATAATGTATTTTTAAAAAGTATTTTGAAAAATAAAAAAATAAAATATTGTTTTGGAGAATAAAAAAATGAAAACATTTTTTACGTGTTTTGGAATTATTATTCTAGAGAATAATAAAAAAATAAAAAAACACTTATTTTTATTATTTTTTTATTTTCAGAACATATTTTACAAAATACTAATTTTTAGAATAATAAAATAACAATAATTTTAAGCAAGCCTTGTACTTCTCATTATTACTTTCATTTGACATCTTCTCTTTTTTTGGCTCAAGTGACTCCCACCTTTCTCTTGGAACTTGGAGCTTATTTCTAATCTTCATGATCCAACAATTTATCTTGATGCTTCTTCAGATTCCTAGCCTCCACAGTGATGCTTCTTGTTACTACGTCTATGTTTCTCTTTCATTTCCAAATTAATCAGATTCATCCTTCTTTCAGAGCCAAGTTCTGAAATCCTGCTCCTTCACATCACTAATTTTTATAATCTCATAAAATATATTATTCTTTTTCTCCTCTTGTTCATGCGTAGCACAATTACTTTCTGCCTGCAGATGATGCTTCTCCAGAATTTTACAAACTAAGAAAATAATCTTCATAGGGATCTTGCTTCTCTGTAGTATTTTCCAATTGACCGATATATCCTTTTTATTCTTGCCTCCTCACAAGTGTTTTATAACCCCTTTTCATGGAACAGCACCATTACTATTCACTGTCCACATAAGCCGATACTTTGCTGGTAGAGTTGGGAAACAGGTAAGCTCAGCCCTTATGAGCCCTTATGAGCTTAGTCCTTAAGGGCTCAAGCCTTTAAACCCAATTTTTTTAAAATATTTCATTTTTTAAAACTCGACTCTTATATAAAGGGCTCAAGGTCAAGTTCGTAAGCTCTTATTATTATTTTTTTATTTTATTTTTAAAAAATTTTAAAAATTAAAATTTTTAATTATAATATTTCGTATATTTTTTAAAAATATAAATTATAATGTTTAAAAATTAAAAATAAATAATAAAAATTTGATTTTAAAGTATAAACATATATTCTAAAGTTTAAATTTAATTAAAAATAAAAATATTTTATATTCTAATGGAAAAATAAAAATAGGCTTAAAAGAACCACCCGAGCCCAAGTTCCCTTTTTTTTAGGGCCTATGAGGGCTGGGTTTGAAAGTCCAATAAAAATGTCATTTTTTTAATTCCAAACCTTTATAAAAATAAGCTTAAACAGGTGGTCCTTTAAGCCTGGCCTTTATTTTCAACTTTATTTGCTGGGAGTAATCGGGATAAAAGAAAGATGCACTGATTGACCGAACTAGCCAGAATTATCTGCACATTGGGGGATAATGGAGGATTAGGGATTTGAAGTACAAGAGAAATTGATATAGGTTCTCTTGTTATTCACCAAAAATAATTAAAGTGGCGTAGATTCTTTTATGTAAATCAAAGTTAGCGGGTTTATATCAAGAATTTGCTGACTTAAAATGTTATTATAATTAATCTAAAAATTGTTGAGAGGGTGTAGATTAATGAGGGAAATGTTCTAAAAAATTTGGGTGTAGCCAGCCATCCAAAGAGCAAATGTGCTTTTAATCTCTTCTTTTTTGTTGGGGGGCCTTCATTGTGCTTTTTTTTATTTTCACCAAATTACGCAAACAAAATGGAAGACAATATGGAAAGAATTAGACGTGAAATGCATCAATAAGATTTTAAACATCAAAATCTAATTTAATTATAATCTAATTTAATTATACAATACTTTTTGGATAAAATAAATGAAATGTAATGTATGAATTTATACAATACATTCTTTGCACCAAATAAATTATTGAATAAATAACATTATTGGATTTGATACTAGAAATAAATAAATAAATACTAGAACTATAACATCTCATTTGAATACATAAATAAATAATTATTGGATTTGAATAAATAAATAATCAATTAACAATAAACAAACAAAAAAGAAGGAAATCCAATAATTACTAGAACCATAACATCTCATTTGGAGATCAACTACATTTGATACTTTCTGAATTTCAAACTTTCGGCAGCTGAAAAATCCTGACTTCCTACTTCCTAACTCCTAAGGCAGCCCAATAGCTGCTTATGTGAATGATGATTTTCTAGGAAAAGCATCTAGAAAGAATCTTGCTTGTGAACTGCACGTTAAATGTCACTTCAGAAAGGAGGGGTGATTTACGATAATCTTGCAATTCCTTCGATGCACAGAAAACCTGGCAAATTTTGAGGCAGACGAATGATACTTCTGAATTGTGACCTTTGCCTGTGCACTACAATACAAGTTGACAATGCAATGAAAGGAACTTAGGACTGCTTTACTGGCCTTCCAATGGATATGGCATAGAATGACAAGTCCAATGACCTTGTAGCCTACTAGCCTACAAACTCTCCTATGAATGAGAGGTTGTGGGTTCTATCTTGCTTATAATTTCAGGTTATTAGTGCTTGCCTTTTAATTAAAAAAAAAAGCATTCTTCAGTATTAGTCTTAGAACATTTTACTCTTCTACATAAGAATGACCATTGTCCTTTACAACATGCTGTACCATCCCCATATACGCACATTTTACAACAAAAAGTCGTTGACATGACCTCAGATCTCATAACACATTCACCATAATAACCATCATATAACCTCAAATCACTATGCACATTCAACATAAGTCGAGCAAGACACAAAATAACCTACAGTTTATCTCATTCCAGCAAGCAAAATTGTATTTCAGCATTTGTCTAATAGTTCTCCATGTTTCAGCACTACTTTTGAGCTAGTAAGGTAAAATATGGCACACGGCCTGTCAGTGTTTCAGCCATCGGTTATCTAGGAAACAATCCATTGAAAGGGGCATGAAAGATTGCCATTGATAATGAAATCAACTGTTGAAGTTTTCAGAGAAGGAATAACTCGATGTCAACCTACAGATGAGTGAAAACCGGCTCCCTTAATTTTTATACCAACAATTACCTACTTGTACTTCGAAACTATCTAAGAGCAGCTTGCACTTTAGAGGAGCTGAATCCTGGTTAAGCCAAGATCCCAAGCATATGTTCACCTGCAAATCATACTTCTTCAGTTCTTCCAACAATGTTTTTCTATCACATAATTTCAAAAGAAGAGGAAAGAAGGTCCAGTTACTAGAATTGTACATAACAAGAAAGCTTAGCTTTTATAATGGAGGCACTAAACTACCAGAGTTCTAATAGAGACAGATTCTGGTCATTCAATGATACTTCAGAGAGCAGTTGGTGAGTAGCACCACGAAGACAAACCATGTCATCCTTCCCTTCCAATGATATACTCAAGTTTTAAATTTTATCACATCGATTCAATGCTCCAATTTCCAAATGGCGGTGTGCAAAACTAGAGTAGTAGACGATGTCATCTGCATTATGCTTAAATACAGTAGTATTTTAAGCAATTAAAAGACCATAAAGGACTTCAACTTCGGGTTTCATAAAAAAGTTTTGTTTGTTACAAATTATTTTACACGTACAAAATCATAGGTAACATGCTGATAGAATTTGGAGGCCTACCTGAGATTGCAGTTTCAAGGGAAGAAAAGTTTTTGGCAGATGCAAAAAGATCTGTTGTACATTAGGCTGACCACGCTACAATGAAGAAAGCCTGCTTGATACTAAATTCTCATACTCATGACCAGTCCATGATTACACAGCTGAGATCGCGCCAGAAGATGGAGAACTCTCCCACACTTCAATACCTTCGACATCTTCTCTGCTAATAAACAACCTATTACCACCACCTTCGATCTGCTTGATAATCCCTCTCTCTGAATTCTCTATTTTATCCACGAAATTTCTTCTATACAAACCCTCAGCATCCCCACCTGCTATTTGAGCACCATTTCTCATCCCTTCGAGTCTGGACCAAACCTCTAAATCACCCTCTCTCCCGACAAACACTTGCCTCCTGTAACAATGAATCGCACTGCTGGTCACTCCACCGGTGTTCACCAAGCTTGGGTTCTTTTCTTGCAAATAAATCCACGGATCCTCCCCTAAATGTCGCATGTCCGCCATTGCCAAATCCCCAGATTGAGAACAGAGCTTGAACAAAGCCAAGCCTTCCACATCGACGCCCAGGCACGCAAACGAGTCGCCGAACCTACTACTTCTACCCGCACCTGGCTCATTCGTCTCCCACACAACCTCGCCGGACCGTGGGTCCCACAATCTGATGTAGCCAGAGTACCCAAATGCCCCGCTCGTGACTGCACTTCCGACGAGCACGCCGGTCTTCGGTACCCACGTCAGCTTCTCAGGAGCCGTATGCTTGGCTTGATTACCAGATTGCCTAGCGAGCTGAGACACGATCTGAAGCTTAGTTTTATCTACTTCAAGGATACAATTCTCTCTGTGCGGGCAATCAAACGCAGCAAAAATCGAACTCTCTGAGCCAGCTATTGTATTGACTCGGGCCTTGAAGATACGAGGATCAGAAGGATCAGTCCACTGAACCGTCCCAACTTTGTGCCCATCGGAGAAATCGTAGAAGTGCAGTCCCGCGTTGGATTTCGACCCTATAGCTGCAATCTCGGGCCAGACTCGGCAAATCGAATCAATTTTGTCTAGATGAGTCCGAACGGTACATGAGTAGCTGAGATTCCAGTCATAGCAAGTCATCTGACCACCGTGGGCGACCCAAATGGATCCATCGACCTCGGCGGCAGTGAACGTGGAAGACAAGCCTTCGGACGCCGGACAAATTGTTGCGGTAATGGAGGCGTCGATCCCATCAAGCGGCGGCGGCGCCATGGACGACCTGAGCCTGGCTTCAATACCGTAGTAAAGGGCTTCATCGGCGAGTTCTTGCTTGGAGAAACGACGCGCGGTAGAGGGGAGCTGGTTGGTGCGGAGGAGAGAGAGGAGGGCGGAGAAGATTTCAGGGTCGCGGTCAATGAAGACGGGTTCGGTATCCCCAGTGTCACGGAAGGAGAGAGCGGTGAGAAGGGAATCGGGACCACCGGAACGAATGGTGTAGATCGTCGTCTCGAAGATCTTCCCGCCGACATTGAGCTTGATACGGTTGTCCGGAGAGGTGCCGCGATTAGAGTCAGAAGTTCCGGCATCCATTGGTCATCGTCTGAATTAGCTTCTCCGAATCGCAGCAAAACGTTGCGTTCCACTCATCGGCTTCGCTCTTATCTTGCGTTGGTGGATGGAAAAGGTTCCCCCTGAAACATCGCAAACGATGCAACAGAGTACCGTGTAAATATTCAGAGTCTAAAAACGAGCGCAGTAATCTTAGAAATTCGAAGGTTACATTGGACACAAAAAGTGGTCCTAGTGCTTATTCATACACGGTTTTTGTTTATGATGAGCACTGCTGGTGGTTCTAGGCAGAAGCTTCTTTCCTTTTTCAAGCCTTGTTTCCCTTTATTCCACGATCAGTGAATGAATTTCATTTTCAATAAGTAATTAATATGAATTTCTGAGCATTACATGCATGACTGGTTCGTAAATATTACTATGACTAATGCGCATAGCAATAGCATAGCCAAAAATTGAGATTAAAAATCAAACAAGATTCAACGGCGGGCTCTTGAGAGAGGAATAAAATAAAGTAGTGTATAAGTCAGTAACATTTAGAGGTTGGATAAAAGCTTAAAAAATAATTTAAGTGCGGAATTTGGTTGTAGAGTAAAAATTGGAGGGTATTTTGTGAAATTGGGCTACAAAGTTGCAGGTTTGGAAGCTGCTGGTCGACTTTTCTGGTTCTTATGTGATTCCAAAGCAATTGTGGAGTGGAATTTGGAAGATTAAGGTGCCTCCCAAGGTGGTTCACTTCATATGGAGAGCTGTGAATGGAGCTTTAGCTACAAGGGAGGCGTTATTCAAACGTTAGTGTACTAATTCTCCTCTTTGTGTCATTTGTAAAACTGAGGTGGAATCTGTTGAGCATGCTTTATTCTTATGTCAGTGGGCTCGCTCATGTTGGTTTGACTCCCCTTGGGCTTTGAAGTTTGATGTATTTGGGATGAGCAGATGGGATAAGTGGCGGGAGTGGTGGATATGCCATTGTAATGGGCTTGAGGATTATGGTTTAGCTCTATTTGTTGGAGTATTTGGAAGGCTAGGTGTGATATTATTTTTGAGCATACTGAGTATTGGAGATGTTTGGAGAGAAAGAAGGGGGTGAGTCTACTGATTTGTTGAGAAGGAATTTGAAATGGTTGAGACCTGTAACCAATGCTGTTAAAGTTCATATTGATGGATGGATCTTACTGTCATAGCAATAAGAGGGCAGCAGTTGGATTGGTTGGTAGGGATGAGGAGGGCTAATTTGTGGGGGGATTGGGGAGAGTGGTGAAAGCTGACTCAGCATTCATGGTTGAGTGTTTGGCTATGTTGGAAGGACTAGAGGCACTGGGGAGGTTTTTTGTTTTTTTTTTTTCTGGTTTAATTGTGTGTTCGGTTAACTTAATCACCAAGTAAGTCTAAGATATCTTTACCAACGCATCACATGGGTACAACTGATATATCTTGAATTTTTTTTTTCTCAAACAATAACCATTGTTATAAACATTATTAATATCATTATATAAACAATGCGTATTTGGAGAAAATTTGGAAGAGAAAATATGTGGGTCCTATTATCTGAAAGGATTCATATTTATATGATGGAGGAGTGAGAAATTGCAATTTTTACGATTTTTTATCTTTTTAATTTAGATTTTTTAATATCTATTTGAGTCTAATTGAGTTTAATTAGATAAGCCTCTTGTTAATTATGAGATTGAAGTTAGCATTGAATCAAAGATAATCTTGGACTCATTGTTCAATGAAATGATTAATTTGTTAGCTTCTTCTTGTAGTGTATCTCTGTCACTATTAAATTCTTGTAAGATATTTGATTGCCAACATCAAAATAAAGATGTGAAACACGTCTTGAGTGAGATACAAAGTCATCTAAACCCTTACCATTTGCTTGGAGGAGGATCCTTATTTCATGTAGAGCTGAGTCTTGTTTCTCTTTTTGCAGGAAACCATCTAGATCTTGAATTATAAATAAGTATTGGTTACAAGACATTGATATAAATAAAGTAATGGTAGAATAATTGTATGTATTTAAAAGTGTGTCATCAAATATTTAATCCTGTTACATTTCTTAGATTTAAATTTAAGGGAGAATTATATCCAACCTCTTTTAAAGAAATTAATCACAGATAATGACTAACAATAAGTCCTATTCAAAAAATAAATAAATAATATTTTTATTTTAACAACAACTCATTTTACATTGAAAGAGAATTTCTAAAAATTGATTAAATTTAATTTGTGGTAAGAAACATTTGATTGAACATGAAATGGAATGTAGGACGAAAGGTCAAAAGTCTTAAAAATAATGAGACTCATTCAATTGAACATAGATTGAATCCAGGAAAGCTGAAGAAAAATCAAATGTGAAAAATGTGAAGGAAGAAAAATGCCCACAAGGCAGAAGCAAAGGAGCAAAGAAGAGATCATGGGCTGGGTTTAGTCAGATTAACATAGTTCAAATATTTATTAAAGAGATCATTGACAATTATTGGATCTATGCTTTAGTTTTGACCCAGATACAGGATTGTCATTGGGCTTGCTTCCATGTTTAGAGATTGTCAATTAGATAATAGGATTCACATCTTACAATATGCTTTTATGGATTCTTTTTTTCATAAATAAACATGCCAAATGCCTGCCTTTTCCTTTGTGAAAAATGTGCTTTAAGAAATCAGCTTCATGGACCCCAAACCAACAAATATGAATTACGGAGAAGATAAAATAAGAAACTATAAAAGTCTAATGGAAACTCCAACCCTGCCTAGTATAAAAATTAAAAGAAAAATGACAATAAAATCTCTTTAAATTATGTAAATGATATTTTAATTTCTCAAAATTTTATAATTTTTTTTAAATTCTTAGAAACTTTTCTATCATTAAGGAATTAATGTAAATGATTAAATTGCCTGGAATTCAAATACCAATTGTCAAAGTTTTATTCTTAAAATTGCAAGAATTTAACAGCAATTCTCAAATTCACATTTGAAATTATGATATTTTTCAAGTGTTACAAATATTAATTGCGATTCATAAGTTTTGTTTTAAGATTCATAACTTTTCTTCTTAAAATTGTAAAAATTTAATAGCAATTCACACATTTAAATTAAAGATAATTTAATCATTTATATTAGTTTTTTAATGGCAGAAAAGTTCCTGAGAACTTCAAGAATATTATGACATTTTAAAGGACTAAAATATCATTTACATAATTTAAAAGAATTTTATTTTTATTTTTTCTTTTATAAATAAAACAATAACTTTTAAGAAACATTTATGACATATTTTTTCTAAATTGCTCTTTATCAAATGATAGTATCATTAAATTTAAAGAATTAAGAATTAATTATAAGAGCATTTTAATTCACAATTTTTAATTTTATACAGAATTAGTAGAATTAACTAATTTCTTTAAATATATAAATTAATTAAAACTTAAAACAGAAAAAATACTGGCGCGATGGATGGTGGGACAAGTGATTGCTTCGAAAATAAAACAACATTTTTAGGAGAAAATGACATTTTTTTATAAATGGAGAAAATGATAGTAAAGTCTTGAGAAATAGAATTAATAATAGTTAGGCCTCAGATAAATTTTTTTAAGAAATTAGTAACATGTATCAATTTAAATAATTGAAAATTTAAGAGTTTAAATTGTGAATAATTCTTTATATGAGAATTTTATTGATGGTCAATATGTAGGTACCTTTTTTGTAAGCGTTATTTGAGTTTAGAGGTATATCCTGATTTTAATAAGCCTCTAAAAACTAACTTATCTAAGCTTTTGTTTTTCAAAAAAATTGTAAATAAGGCATGTAAATTATAAATGTAACTCTTAGTTTATAATTGGCATTACTGTTTGAAATTATATAAATTATTATTTATAATTTATTTTTAAAAAAATTATTCAAGATTTAACTGTTATTAATTTTTTTTAGGATTTTATTCTCATTCTTCCTATTTATACTATGATATTATTATATTTTTTAATTTAAGTTTTATAATAATTTTTGGGAGAATTACGCACAAGTTTCACTTAAGATAATTAATTATCTTATTGTCAATAAACCTTTAAATAATTAAATATCTTGAATAAGACCTTAAAGTAATTCTTCCATAATTTTTTTATTTGTATGGATAATTTTAAATTTAGAATATATTTTTAATCTTTTAACTTTATGTAAAATTTTAATTTAATTTTTTAATTTTATAAAATATTTTTTGAGTCTTTAACCATCACATCATTAGTTTCAAATAATTTTTTATGTCAATCATTGTTAGTTTAAAAAAATTAAATTTAATATGTCAATATTTGAAAATATTTTATCATTATTTTAAAATTTAATATAAAAATTTGTTAGGATAAAACTAAAAATGATAAAATTAAGGATTAAAAAATATTTAATAAAGTTAACAAATTAAAATAAAATATTATATAAAATTAAAAGATTAAATTAAAGGTAACATAAATTTTGGAATGTAAATGAGCTCTGGCCTACTTGCCACCTGCTAATAAAGGTTGTTAGGACTGAAATGCCATGGACTTTGAACATCCGACCACCTCACATCTCAACAAATTCATGCGCCAACTCCCAAGCATCCTTTAATATTTTGAAAATGATAAATAAATTTATTTGAAAAAAGAAAAATTATAAAATAGTATTTCGAAAGGAGATAATTATTCTAAAGTCCAAAAGTGTATCTGTCATAATTTTTTTATACGGTTACATTTTAAATCCTCTAAAAAATAATAGAAAATATAGTTATTAAAATATAAACTATAGTTGATATAAACGAAGGTAAAAATGTTAATATAGGAATTATAGTTGTTATTGCATGACTCAACTGAATTTGTGATCTAATGTGCTGTTAATACTTAAATTAAAGTTATTAATTACTAAACTGAAATTGTTAATATAAAAAAATAGATTTGTTATTGCATGACGGATCTAACAATTTTAGTTTAGATTTTAACAATTGCATTTTGTTTTTAATTTTGTTGAGGGTTAGAAAGTAATTTCACAAAAAATGTAGTGTAAAAGATCAAAGCAGCTTCTAAATTATAGGTTTAGGAGCTTTTAAATTTCAAAACTCATTTTTAATTTAATGTTATTTTTTAAATTTTGAAAACAATATAATATAGTTGCTACCATCAATAAAAGTTAGTTTTGACCCTTAATTGATTAGAAAATGATAGAAAAGAACCTCAAAATTACATAAAATGATCAATAAATTTTTTTAACCTTTTCTATAATTTTTTGAATCATTGTCATAATTTTTTGGTTCTTTTTTGTTATTTTCTTGTCAACTAATAGTTAAAATTAACTTTTATTAAT